CGTCGCTAATACTGTAATTTTAGCAACGATAAATGTCGTCGCTAATAACACTTTTTATTGTAGTGTATCTCGCCGTTTAGCATAATCATATAACATACATAAATTAATTCAGTATTGACGATTAGTGTTTTTAATAAATTAAAATTAATTAATTCCTCATCACCCAAGCTCTAACTTGAGCTGGGGCATTGCAACTTATTAATTACTTCTTTTAAACAATGACAATTTGCTGAAAAGAATAAAAAAAAGAAAAAGTGAGAACCTATGATCAGCTATATCCAAGAAGCTTCTGAACTCATGATAATAAACCACTATTGAAAGGCACTCCTGTCTGAGGCAACCAGTCATCTCCAAGCAAGAAATTGAACACCGTGAAGTTCCCAACATCAGAAGAATTACCGATCACATGATAGCCAGGCCATCTGACTCTGTTCGTAGTGTCCGATCCCGGTCCAGTATTGTTATACTCCGCATAGTACGAAGTGTTGAGCGCAAAATCTCCATTCCATTCACGCCAACCAGCAGGATCAACAACACTATCAATGTAAGACTGCATGTAAACCGTCGTCGAATACTCCTTCCACGGCCTCCCGAGATAAGTCTTGATGGTACCGTTGCTCGCCGCCAAGTCGTCGGCGGCTTTGATGGTGCAGTTGTGAATTGAAATGCCGGTGTTCTGATTGGGGTCCGTCCTGCCTTGAGCTGTGATGGCGTTGAACTGGTTCTGCATGGGAAGGCGGGGGTACATGTTGCAGTTCTGGAAGACGACGGCGGCGTTCCCAAAGATGAAGTCGACGGTGCCGTAGATGTCGCAGTCGCGGTAGAATTGCCGGAGGGAGTGGGTGTAGAGAGTGTCTTGGTAGGCTTCGAAGCTGCAGCTGTAGAATGTGGAGAGATCGGCGCCGTTTCGGAGCGCGACGGCCTGGTGCTTGATTGCTCCGGCGGTGTTGCGGAAGGTTATGTTCACCGCCACGAATCCCGGCGCCACAACGGCTGCAAGGTTGGCGTAGAATAATTAGGTCATCAGAAAACTAGGGGTTCGTTTAGCAGATGAATCTAGAATCATAATTTTAAATCCTGATTTAGAATCGGTATTTATTTATAGTAATTCTAAATCATGATTTGAAATTAGTATTTGGTTTGTATGATTCTGAATCATAATTCAGAATCAGTATTTAGTTTGTATGATTTTGAATCATGATTCAGAATCTGATGTGATGTTTTAAACCAGAATCACTCATG